GGCAAGCCCCTTGGACGTAAGCACGAGAGACCGGTCCCGCCCCGGACAATCATAAGAGGAAGTCCTTAGATAGCAACGACCTCAACCAGGTTGTGGCGTCCAGCGGTTTTAGTGAAAACAAGTATTTGGTTGAAGTGCCCAGTCTCGCGGGCTCATAAAACCTTGGCATATGGATCCAAGGGGGCGACAAAGGATAGAATTATAAGATCTTACGATTGAGATTATCAAGAGATTGGGTTTCCCATTAGGCAATATTTTCCATTTCATTCGTACTTGTTCCATAACAGGAAGTCTACATTTCCAACACCATACCCCTGACTTTGAATGAGACTGTTGTCATCTGTGGATAGAAGCAGTATCGGAAGAAATTTAATAGTTTCACAAGCACGGCATAATCAGTGAATTTCGTCTAATTTTAGCCATGAATCATTGACACTGTAAAACATGAATCATCGACGCGAGTTCCTTGCTTACCTTTCCGTTATTCAAACCAGCAAGTCACTTTTTAACAGTTCTTTTTTGTATTAAGCATAATACTGTTAGCTTATTTTATTTCCTAGGGCCACAGTTTTGGATTTCCATCTATTAAACACTTGACGCTGCCCTTTTAGAAGTGAATGGTTTCTTAGGTAATGACATGAAAGCAGAAAAAAATTCTTAGTTCGCATTCTGTCGCCCAGATCTTTTGGTAAGATTTGTTAGAATTAAAGTTTTTTTGTATTGACTTGATAAAATTCGTATTATCGCCGTAATTCCAGGTTTAGAGATGGGCGTTTGTGATGCTTTTCCGTCCTCAAAGAAAGCAGATCTATAAATAGATTTCAATGACGTCACATCCCAAGCCGCATTTCCGAGAACGTTAGTACGCATGCGTTCAGATGTTGTGAAGTGATCGTAAACGAAGGACTGGGTGGCGAGTCTTTCACACTGTGACACGCTTGCTGTTGATTTCCTCGTGTCTGAGAAAAAGGTTATCACAACTTCTGCATTTAACATATTTTCACCATGTTCTCGTGGATGAAAAAGAATGACGCACAGAAAAACCCTCAAGTGTTCAACTCGGTCGTGGACGGCCTGCGAAAAATGTACTACAAAGTGTTGAAACCGCTTGAAGAAGCCTATCTCTTCAATGAATTTCACTCGCCGGTTATGTCTGACCCCGATTTTGTGGCAAAACCCATGGTTTTGTTAGTTGGCCAGTATTCAACGGGTAAGACAACGTTCATTCGCTATCTGTTAGAGCGAGAGTTTCCGGGCCTAAGAATCGGTCCCGAACCAACAACGGACAGTTTCATTGCTGTTATGCATGGCGAGAATGATCAAGTAATACCGGGAAATGCGTTGATTGTGGATCCTCAGAAGCCGTTCCGTACTCTCAGCTCGTTTGGGAATGCTTTTCTAAACAGGTTTTGCTGCTCTGAGCTCCCCAGCGCCGTTCTTGAAAGCATTACCATAATCGACACGCCTGGTATCTTGTCCGGAGAAAAGCAAAGTGTCGCACGAGGATATGACTTCACGGGCATATTAAAGTGGTTCGCTGAGCGCTGCGATCGGATAATTTTGCTCTTCGACGCTCATAAACTTGACATTTCCGACGAATTTCAGCGAGGAATCCAAGTACTTCGCGACTACGATGACAAAATTCGAATCGTGCTTAACAAAGCTGACATGGTCACAACACAACAGCTGATGAGAGTATATGGTGCGTTGATGTGGTCTTTGGGCAAAGTTATAAACACCCCAGAAGTTGCCCGTGTGTTTTTGGGATCCTTCTGGGATCAGCCGCTGCAGAATGATGAAAATCGTAAGCTGTTTGAGTACGAGGCCAATGATCTTTTCAGTGATATCCAAACACTTCCCAGGAACGCTGCACTCAGAAAGCTGAATGATTTTATCAAGAGAGCTCGCTTAGCTAAGGTAAGTATTCTATTTTAGTCCATTGATTGAGATTAACTTAACATGTAATCTTAGTGATTTCTTGTAGGTCAACAGGTCCTTTTGGGAATTTTCTGAATAACTGACCTACAAGGAAACATTCTTTTTCAAAAGTTTAGTTATGTCATCGTGGATGAGTGTCGGTATAAGGAAGGCCCCAAGTGACACGTGATCTAAAACGAAATTCTCCCTTATATTATACCTGCCAACTTTTAATTTATAGGCATGACGTTTTTTCCTGAGAGTGCCAGGANTCAAAAGTTTAGTTATGTCATCGTGGATGAGTGTCGGTATAAGGAAGGCCCCAAGTGACACGTGATCTAAAACGAAATTCTCCCTTATATTATACCTGCCAACTTTTAATTTATAGGCATGACGTTTTTTCCTGAGAGTGCCAGGAGTTTTCGTAGGGGTCGGTTATTAGGGAGCTTAAGCAGCGACGTTTTTGAGCGACATACGTCAACCGGAAATGGACTTTTTGCACTCGTGAGCCGTGATTTTGAACAAATTTTTAGGCAGATCGTCTCTATAAGAATTAAGACACTTGGCAATACAAATACGGTAGCGGCAAGGCTTACTAAAAGAGAAAACGGCTCACTTCCGGTTGATGTGCGTAGCTCAAAAACGTTGCTGCTTAAGCTCCCTAATATCTGAAGATGTTCCCGATATGTTCTGAAGAGTTCCATCTAACGTGAACATGGGAACAATAAGGAATACGACCTCATGTGAAGTTCCATCTAACGTGAACCTAGGAACATGAAGGAATACGACCTCATGTGAAGCGACTTTTCCCCGCTAAAGTAAGAGAATTCAGAGAAAGCATGGGCTCACAGAGAAAGCCAATCATTCACGTGGACTTTTCTTTTCTCTAATTGGTTCCAGTTTCTTTTAATGATTAAGGCATGAGAAGTTGGAACACAGGCGTGAGTAGGCGTGAGATTGAAGTTTTTGATCCGCAGGTGTGACAATGGCGCCTTAGGCGTGACACTTGGCAGGTATATTTTATTCACCGGTAAATACTGGGGGAGAAGGAAATGCCGTTATAAAAGTGAAAGGAATGGTCATTGTTTCACTTTGGGTCTGAATTAAGGAAATTATGGTTTCATTTAGGGCTCACCGGATGAAAAGCTGATATTTTTACACTTGTGGTAGAGCGCTTGACTTCTAGGGCCTGACAAATACTAAGGGTCTTAAAATAACTGGAAAATAAAGGTATTGCCTTTGCCCTGCAAATGGTTAGACCTTTGTGTGAGTCAGATGACCATTTAACAGTAGGAGACATTGAAATAGTGTCCCCAATTAGTACTTTAGAGCAATGTAGGAAATTCCACCTTTCATCCCGTTTTCAATAAATTGGAACATATCCACATCAGTCATAAGCTCCAGTTTTATACCAGTCATTTTTAACCTGGTATCCCAACTCAAGCTAGGAGATGTAATGGTAACAATGATGATGATGATGTTGATCATGATCATTTTATTCACACTGGTGCACAATACGATATAACCTGGTTGTAAATACTGATACCAGCCAGTCTGTATTGAGTTGTAGTGTACCACACAACCACATTTGTCAAGTGTTTTGCTGCTTGATGAGAGAAAAATATTTGTATTTGTATTTATTTGCCACACGATCACAATTAAGTGCATTTTTTTGTAGTTCAAAGAGTGTGGAATTGTTACCCATTTTTTTATGGCTCATTGTTTTTTGGTTCTTAGCTAAAAGGCTTTTGGGTTCTATCTTTTCAGGTCCATGCTTACGTTATTGCAGAGCTTAAAAACCAAATGCCTTCTGTTTTTGGCAAAGAGAAGAAGAAGGAGCAACTACTGAACAAGCTCTCTGAGGTTTACATGAAGATCCAGAAAGAGCACAACATCTCCCCAGGGGATTTCCCTTCCGTGTTGAAATTCAAAGAGCAGTTGCGAACGTATGACTTCTCAAAGTTTCAGCCATTGAGACCTAAGCTGATTGAGTCCCTTGACCGAATGTTGGCCAATGACATTCCGCGACTTATGGCTATGATACCATTAGAGAAGGACAGCAGCTATGGCAGTGAGGCATCTGTCAGGGGTGGCGCATTCTCCGTTAGCCATTCCACCAATAATCCATTTGCTTCTGGGGCTTGCCAGGGAGCTGCTTTTGGCGCTGAGTCAGATAAATGGGTGGTGGAAGATTTCAAAGACGAGTATGACAGACTGTTTAAAAGCTTGGGTCCAAAGAATGGAAAGATCTCCGGTGCCGTTGCAAAGAGAGAGATGGTCAAGTCAAAACTCCAAAACACAGTACTGGGTAAAATATGGACCCTCTCAGACATTGATCGTGATGGGCAGTTGGACGAAGATGAATTTGCGCTGGCAATGTACTTGATTAAAATCAAGCTTGATGACGATGACGTACCTGATAAATTGCCAACTCATCTGATTCCACCATCAAAGCGTTTGGCAAATGGTATAGACAATGATTAAGAAGGAAGGACTACATAACATCACTATATGGTAACAGATTTAAGATCAAACATTTGGCTTTCAAAGTATTCTTTTACATCATTGTAACAAGGAATTTAAGGTGTAAGAAACACCTGTCTTAACATAATCATATCTCTCCTGAAACCAAGCAAGATACAACTATACTATGGAACTCAACCGTATTACCATAATATTGGTAAGCATTGTCTCATTGTCTTATATAAATAAACAAAGCTGTGCTTTAGCAGTGCCTGGTCAGCCCTTGTGCATAACTCTTTGCTCCTGGCCAAGTAGTTTTTTTCATAGAAATCATGCTAGACTTCTTGGATTTCACAAGTTCAGAAGACAGGGCTCCTTTCAAGTTTTATCTTTATTTGTATTAAAAGATAGCAAAGACAATAGATGTCATCACCCTCTTTAGCTGTAAAGTTATTTGTATTGTGTTTGGCCCCTGGGCCTCAGTGTTAAGTTGAATTTTGGTGACACATCGAAAATGGTCAGGCCCACATTTTAGGATACTGTCCTTTTCATCCATGTGAGGGAATGAGACAACAAAACTTCCTAATGTTCTGATTGGCAGTACAGTCAAATCTCTCTTAATGGACACCTCTATAAGATGGACACCTCTGTAAAACGGACACTTAGAGTTGGTCCCTGCCTTTCTTTACTCCCTTTATTTGACTCTCTATAAGACGGACACCTCTCTAAGACAGACGCTTAGTGCCTGTCCCAAAGGTGTCCATCTTAGAGAGAGTTGACTGTAAGGATTACACACTTTAGTGTCATCAATTAGAAGTTTGAATGGGATGAACAAGAACATGTTTTTCCTATACACATAGATGTAAATGACAGTAACTGCATGCATGTTACGTTACTCAATACTTACAGTGCAAACAAGTG